GTAGCAATGTGGGCAAACTCTTTATTTCTAGGCAATTTGGAATACCTTTTTGAATATGTATGTGATAGTTGAAATTGTAAAGATAGTATTAGGGTTTGTAAGAGAGAAGAAGAATAAGAGAGGCGAGAGATAGAGAGAAAGAAGAATCTTAATGTAGGTTTTGTTGCCATACATCCTTTTATTTATATTGAATAATATTTTGGGTAATTACAATTTTTGTTGTTTGTTCGAGTCATCGTGTTGACTCTAAGTTGAGCAATATGCCCCAATCGTCGATACAGGTGTGATTAATGAGTTTTGTGTATTGTATGTTGTTATAGTATTGGGCATGGTCGACCTTAAACCCTAATCGATAAAAGTGCAAGAGATGTAATATTTATGACTTAGGTTACTTCATGTGGATTAGTGTTAAAATCAATGGATGAGTAGACAATTCTTGTAAAAAATTATGTAGATTGTCATTATAGTTGCAATTTCGGAACGTTGCTTTAAAAGATTCCCTTATGCAAATACGTTAGAGATTGTTTGCTTGTTTCTTGAATTCTCAAACCAAACTAAATCTTCATGATACCACAAATTTTACTCCTCCAAAAAGTTAAGAATGTCTTGGAAGGCTGTGTAATACCTAAAAGTTGTGAGGATAATATTTGATTATGTTGAAGTATAAATATTTAAGTTACACCATCTCTAACAGTTTAAGCTTTTGGAGTAAATGGTTATTGAACATGGTATTAGAGTACGAGGTTATGTGTTCGAATCTTGTCACCTCCCTAATTATTAAAAGATTTCCACGCGCTAGGTTGTGAATGGCGTGTTGAAGTATGAATACTAAAGTTACACCCTATATAACAACTAAAACTTTTGGAGTATAAGTCGAAAGCTACACACCAGATTATCTATAATGTAAAATAAAAGACACATATGCATAACATATATTTAATACAATCCAAACATTTTACCAATACAGATTCTCAATAGATAATGAAGAACTTTTATTAAATAATAAACTTGGTTTCATTACAAAAATCAAGCTTTTAGTATATAACTCTATCATTTTTGTTGGCACAAATTAATACCCTCCTTTAACTAGACAACCTTAATCCCTAGGAAGTACCGAATAATGCCCAAATTTTTGTTGTGAAATTGCTTCTCCAAATAGACCTTGAAGTGAGTAATACCATTTGAGTCATTACTACTAACGATGATATCGTTGATATACACAATAACATTAATAATGCCAGCAGCACACTGGCAAATGAAGACTGAATGATCTAGAGTAAAACCCTGAAAGCCAAATTGAAGTACAGTAGTACTAAACTTATCAAACCAAGCACGTGGTGATTACTTCAAGTTATAAAGTGCTTTCTTCAACCAACACACTAATTGTTCTTGGTCAGAGACGTCATAACATGGAGGCTGACTCATATAGACCTCCTCCCGCAATTCTCCATGTAAAAAAGTATTCTTAATGTTTAGTGGACACAAAGAGCAGTCTCAACTAGCTACAACAGAAATAAGAATTGTAATAGAGTTAAGACGAGCAAATGAGAGAAAACTCTTAGCATTAATCTACACCATATGTCTGGGTGTAGACCTTAGCAACCACCTGTGCCTTCAAATGTTTAAGAGACCCATCATGATAAATAAGATCATCGTGAGAACTATATGTAGATGTAGCATGACCACCGGTCGTTCGTTGAGATATAGGTGGAGTTGGGTCATCAGCATAGGCTGGTGGCCCATGGTTATCCTAACAATAATCCTCAGTATGGGTCATGGCTCCATAATAAGAACATTTCCACTCAGAATGATTACCCTGACCACTACGACTACTATGTCTTCCTCTACTAGAACCTCTGCCACCACGGTCATCACCTTAAGCGGGAAGTCGACCACCATGATGACCACCATCACTAGAAAGTAATGTAGTAGACTCCTATGATGGTGAGGAATTCCCATGAATGAGAGAGGCTCTTTGAAGACGAGAATAAGCATTGGCAGTAATAGTTTCCCACTAATTGAAACTCTTCACGCTGCCGATGTTGTACCTCTAGGTTCGCACTTAATGGCTGATAAAGCAGAAGTTCCTTCGACAACCCTTTCAAAGTGTCATAATGCTTAGCCACTTGGTATTAAACCTATGTTCAAATAGTTTATAGATCTGGGACACATTTCGTTTTTGTGAATACATCTCCTCACGAGAGTCTCAAATCTTCGTAGCAGTATCAAGAAGTTAAACAATACAAGCCACTAATGGTTCCATTATAAGCCACAATCAGGTCATCACCAAGGAATTTTCACTCGATCAGTCTTCTTCACCCTTTGATTGTTCTGGAGGAAGGCTTTCTGTCAAATACTTGACTTTCCTTTTAGCCCTCAAGAACACCTTAATAGCATGGGGCCAAGAATGATAATTGGTTCCATTTAACTTCACAGAGGTAATTTGCCTAACTTGGTCATTACCATAATAGACATGTCAAACTAAGCCACGATCCTAGAAGGACAAAAAAATCTACAATCAGATGAAAGCTTCTTAACACACAAGGGAGATTTGAATAACGAACCTACCAACGCTGTAACACAAGAAGGAAAAAACAAATAGACATGATCCCGGAAGGTGTCGCAATCCTAATCAACAAACAACCAGAACCAAATTAGGGTTGAATGCCCCAACTGACAGTTCCAAAAGTCGGATTAGGGAAAAAAAACCACACTCCCAAACTAACCAAACCGGCATGTCACTGTTCAAGAACCTCCACCAACAATTGTTGGCACACGAGGCACAAGGGACTGTCGAAAAACATCAAACAAGGGCTGCATGTCAAACCTCCTAGCATCTATTCAGACCTTTCTGAGAAGTATTGAAGCAACAAATCTCAAAGAAAACCCCCAAATCTGTAGATTGAAATATCTCACACTATTTTCGGAAAAAAAAATTCAAAAATAGAAAACTCCTACTAGATGACTTCAAAAAATTAAACAAAAATCACCACAATGTTCAACACAAAAAACTGAGCCAGATGATGTCTCTCCAGCACTGGAAAGTGATGATGTTCACATTGACGTTAGCCTTTGACATTGACACCAGTGATTTTTGTTCCTTGGAAAGTCCTTTGTTGTGTTTTTTTGATGATAATTTGAGTTAAACAAAATTGCTCTGATACTAAGTTGAAATTGAAGAAACCAATATGAGGGTTAGACAGATGTAGAGAAAGAGAGAAAAGAACAAAAAGGAAAGAAAAGAATAATCTATTGTGTGTAGTTGCTCTGTTGCTCTACACTTTCTTATTTATAGCTGAGCAACGTTTAAGGTAATTACAATATTACCCTACACTAATTAACTTATGACTCAATACATAAAATAAGAAAATAAGAATTCTAACAGGTACAAAGCAAGGCTGGTAGCTAAGGGGTTCACCGAGACATATGGCTTATCAGTAGACATTTGTTCTTGTGGCGAAGATGAATTCCATTCGTATCATTCTTTCTTATGCTGCTAATTTGTGACGGGATCTACAATAATTGGACGTAAAGAATGCATTCCTTCATGGAGAGGAAATATACATGGATATTTCTCTAGGTTTTTCGTCTTAAGCTACGCAGGGAAAGTATGTAGCTAAAGAAATCCTTTTATGGACTGAAGTAGTCTCCTAGAGCGTGGTTTGACATATTTGATAAGGCAATGGTCAAGTTTGGGTACAGACAGAGTCATGCAGGTCACACGATATTCATCAAACAAGTGAGTGGTAAGATCTCAATTTTTATAGTATATGTTGATGGCATAATACCTAGAAGTGATGATGTGGAGGAAGTGTCCAAATTGAAAGTTCATCTTGCTAAAGAATTTGAGATTAAAGATTTGGGACAGTTATGCTATTTCCTAGTGATTGAAGTGACCAGATTAGATAATGACATTTTTATCTCATAGAGGACGTACATCCGTGATCTCTTGAAGGAAACTGGCATACTAGGGTTGTATTTACATCACTTTTCTTACATCTTTGACGAGAGAGATTTTTGACACTAGGAAGAATTTTTTAAGTTGACTTCCTCTCCCCCTCTCTTTTCCCTTTCTTAGTGGATCATCAAAACCTCCCCTTTCTCCTTGTTTGTTCATATTATCTAATTCTTGTCATCTCCTTTTCTGCACATTCTTTTACCTTAATTGCAACATTTCGAGATTTCGAAGTTTGCTTCGGAGAACATATTGTGCTGTTGTTATGCTCGGATAGTTCCTTTATATTGCCCATTTTCTACCATTGCTGCCCATTTAACCTTCCTCTTTCATGTTATCCCTTTTCCATTGGAATCAACTACTCCGTGATTTCCTTTCGTAGATGGAAATTTACTTGTTTTGTATACGCGATTAGAGCACACAATCGACTGTTTTAAATTGTTTTTAAATTTAGTGGACTGATTAATTTTCAATGATCGAAATCTTGCTTCCAAATAATTGCTGCAGAATTTCTTCCAGCTGCTATTTGGTTTTTCTTGGTTCTAGTGCTTGGAATTGTTGAATGATTTGTAAGGTTGCAATTGCAAACTTGATATCGAGCCAATCATGATTTTCTTTCAGCAAAACCTGGCGCTGCAACGTTCTTAATCTCTTTGAATTGATTTATAAGTGAGCATTTTGAGCATTCAGTTGATTGAAATGAAAAAATTAGCCTAGCACATTTCATGTGCTTCGTTGGCCATAACATTTAGATTTTTTTATTATTGGTGTTCCACAGTGAGAGAATGATTTGTCCGTGTCCAACTGTAGACCCTAAAGAACCTTGCTGAGCAGAGAGTTGGATATTGGGATAGGTTGATAAAAATGCTAAAAGAATATATCCTAGGTGTATATTTAAAGCCTATCATGATTGGTTCCAGATATAGAGCATTAATTCTTATGCATGTAGATATAAGAACTGTGATATAGTTTATCTCGCAGTTAGCTCCTGAATATAGTTCCTTGTTGAAATCAGGGTTTCATTAGATTTTCCTGTGTAGTAGACATGGTAAGTACTTATAAAATTGTTATTTGATTTTCTAGCTTTCAATTTCTTTATGAATTACATTACTGGTACCTTAACCCACTTTTTAGGCAAACAGAACATGCATTTCAAGACTTGCAGAAGTTTTTTTTTTTTTTACTTCGAAGCGTCTTATGGAACTTTGAAAAAGAAATTTTGTGACCTAAGCTATTACAGAGCTATAGCACCATGTTTGGCCTGATATGATCATTCTTCATCCAGGTCTCAAACCAACTAAACAGCTTATATGTGAAATTTCTCAAGAGGAATCCTGGTTATGATGGAAAGGTTTGTGGCAGTTGAACATGCTATGTTTTGGTTTTATTAAGTTTAGTTATCCAAAGTTCGTGATTCATGCCAGGTAGTTTATTGTGGTTCTATTTTCGTAGGTTTCTTTATATGGTCATTCTCTGGGAAGTGTCCTCTCTTATGATATCCTTTGCCATCAAGAGATTTTGACCTCTCCATTTCCAATGGATTGGATGTACAAGGAACATGCCAAAGAGGAAAATGTTTCGGCTAATATCAATAACCAATCTTGTGAGTGCAAATTCACCCCCAATTTTGGCAACAGCAATTTCATTGTCAATAATTAAATTGAGGGCTTGGCAGGTACTGTTGGTAATGACGATATGGGTCCACAAACAAGTATGTCAGTCCTTTTGGACGAACATACTGAAGCCTCTTGTATTCCTATGGGTCCTCCTGTATCAACAGATTCAGAAGAACCTTCTGCCATAGCTTTGGACTATAAAAAATCGAATGACACCTCCTCATCAGATGAAGAGGCTCTTAAACCTATTGTTGATCAGAGTGACTCGTTGCTTGACAAACAGGATGACTTGAAAGAACCCACAAGCATGAACAGTGAAGTTTTAGTTTCTGATTCAACACAAATTGCTGATGAAGTATCTGAGAGTGACAAAGACAAAACAATCAAATTGCTCAGTGAAGAGGTAGTGATCTGCCATTCTGCTGCATGGCTTTTCAACTCATCTAGTTTTGTCTTTTAATAGAAAATTCTTCTTTTGTTTCAGATTGGTTTCCTGAAAACCAGGATCACAGAATTAGAATCTCAGGGTATCGGTAAAGGTACAAGTGCACGTTGCTTCACAAAAGTTCTGTTGTCATTCCATTATATTCTTTGTTTTACCATTCGTGTTTTGGTTTTGTGGATTTAATGAGCTGCGATAAGTTGATAGTCCACGTTTGGTGTATAATGTAAACAGGAAATGAAGCAGATACTACAACCGTGACAAATCCACCTGTTTCTGTGAGGCTCCCTTCTCATAAGAATGAGACACCAAAGAGTTACACCCCTTATATAAAGTATACGAGATTGAAATTCAAGGTAACTGTTAAGAGATGTTTTATAGCAATGAGAGGTATTTATGTACTTAGTATCTTACTATTATAAATACATGGGGCTAAGGTTGATAACTCTAATATGCTTTTTGGGGATTTCTCTCAACAGCTATTACATTCATTCAAACTTTCTATTCCTCTCTACTTCTTCTCCTTCTTTCTCTCTTCATATCTTAATATGGTATCAAAGCTCGATCCGCCATAAGTTGGTATTATCTTCAATTTTTTTTCCAGGAACATAAATCCTCTTTATTTCTCGCACATCTTTTTTGGCTGAACCCTAAAAAAAAATTAAAAAAATCTAGGATGGTCAACTAGGTTTCTAATACTCCCAGAAAAATTCTCAAATTTTTTGGAGTTCATTTGATTTATTTTATTTTTTGGATTTTTTGTCTAATTTTTCGAAATCGCTTATTCTGGCTTGTATGATGAAGTCTAATGGCTTGATAGCTCCCTTGTGGTTCGAAATTATCTTCTTGCTCTTAGCCAATTATTGTTTCATCCATTTTGATGGTTCTTTGGCCAAATCTACACTTTTTCTTGCATTTGTTTTTGCTAAAACAACATTTCTATTCTTTTATTACTTTTTTGATATGATTTGGTCATCTTTTTCAGTTTTTATTTGTTTGTAACTTTAGAATGCTAGGTTATTTTAATTGAGGGTATTGTTGTTATCTTCACTTTATTATGAATTAATATAAATATAGGTGATGAGAGTAGTGACAAGTTAACTCTCACTCTCCTTAACCCTATTTTCTAATCTCTTTCTTCTCTTCTCTTGTCTATTGTCTCTAAATTCTAGATTTTTCAATTTCAACTTGGTATCAGAGCAATCAAATGAAAGTTTGAAGTCACTTGGTATCAGAGCAATCAAATGAAAGTTCAAAGTCACACGAATATTCATGAAGGACTTCATTGTCGGAATGATGACATCATCGCCAAAATTTTCCAAAACCAACATGTCTAAGTCAGTTTTGCCTCTTAAATATGACGGTGATTTTTCTGAATTTTTTTGTAGCCATATGACGTGTTTTATAATTTTTTGAATGATTTTTGAGATTTTTGGGTCGTATTTCGTGGTTTGCGATTGGCCTAAGTTTCAGACTACTCCAATGCCTCTAAAGGAATCTGTGGGTGCAGACTAAGACTCCAGGGTGCTTTGGTGGAGTTTTGAGCATAGCCCACTATTTTTTGGGCATTTATTGGTCATGACAGTGGAGTTTTCTCTGCTCCAGCAGTGTTTTCTCATCTGAAGTGGCGTCTTCTTGCTCCAAACCAGTTGGGTTGCTTCGGCAGTGATATTTTCTTACTCCCAACAGTTGTAATTTGCTCTGGGCGGTGGTGCTTTAGCTCAACAGTGATTCTCCTGCCTCCGTTTAATTTTTGCAGTGACTAGTTTATGTCTTACGGGTTTGAGCTTTGTGCTTTGTCCTTTGTGCTTTTTGATACTTGTGGCCTCTATAAAGGTCCTTTTTAGAGTGTAGGATGCTTGATTTTTTTTTTTTGCATTTCGAGCTGCTAGTTTGGATCTCTTTTGGGTTGGGATAATCCCAAAATTGTTATCCAGTAGTTGGGATGTGTTAGAAAAGTTGTCTATTGCTAAGAAGACATGCCTGGAGTTAGTGCAGAATCTATCAGCACTGAGAAAGTTGGAGTAGTTTGAAATTCAGTTTGATGCCAAAATTAACGTTCTCAAGACCGATAATGAGATTGAGTACTTTAATGGAGAATACCATGACTATTTTACAAAACATGAAATTTTTCACCAATCTAGTTGTGTGGATATACCTGAGCAGAATGGTGTAGCATAGAGGAAAAGACAACATCTTCTTGAAGTGGCACGTTCCTTGATGTTCACTATGGGTGTCCCTTTGTCTCTTTGGGGAGATGTAGTGCTAACTTCTGCATATCTCATCAATTGGATGCCTTCGAGAGTTCTTGATTTTACTTTTCCCGTACGGTTGCTTCAAGGGCAAGTTTCACTTTACTCTATTCCCCCTAAGGTGTTTGGTTGTATATGTTTTGTGCATGATTATTGAAGGACCAGGGGAAAGTTGGATCCAAAGGCTTTGCGGTGTGTTTTTATTGGCTACTTTGCTGCCCAAAAGGGTTATAAGTGTTATCATCCTTAGTCTAAGAAGATTTATGTCAATATAGATGTTACTTTCCATGAGACAGATATATTTTTTCACTCTTTCACCATTTTTTTAGGGGGAGTAATGTATTGAAGAAAAGATGTCAGAGGATGGATTCTTTCTCTTACCCCTTTATCAGGGTTTAGGTTAGGGAGGAAAATCTAGCAAAGGGAAGACTCAGGGAGAAACACCTGTTTAGGGGCAGTAAACTGCTTGTGGAGGGTTTGCGATGTTATATTCGACGACAGGCTAAGCAGATCACCACCTATGAGCTATCAAGTCCGTCATTATATCTAGAATCAATTCTCGAGGTCTCTTCGTTGTTATCAGGTAATGAGCCTCATTGTAGTAATCTTGTTGATGATAGCTCTTTACCTATTATTAATCGAAAAAAAGTTCAGACTTGTACCCAACATCCTATTTCGAAATCCTATCTTGTTTTCATTTCATTTTTGTCTTTTATATCCCTTCCTCAGAGTTGGAATGAAGGCTTTGTAAAACTCAAGTGGAAAGTAGCCATGGTAGAAAAAATGAGAGTTTTGGGAAAAGATAAAACCTAGGAACTTATGTCTCTTCCATCTGGAAAGAAATCAGTAGATTGTAAGTGGGTGTTCATTGTCAAACAGAATGTAGATGGTATAGTAGATAGATACAAAGTAAGGTTGATAGCAAAAAGCTAAAGGATTTACGTGGATATATTGCATTGACTATCAGGAGACATTTGCTCCTGTAGTGAAGATGAATTTCATTCGTGTCATCCTTTCGTGTTTTGCCAAATTGGGTTGGGATTTACAACAACTAGATGTAAAAAATGCATTCCATCATTGGGACTTAGAGGAAGTATACATGGATATTCTTCTAGAGTTTTCTTTTCCAGATACAAAGGAAAAAGTATGTAAGCTGAAGAAATCCATTTATGGACTCAAACAATCTCCTAGAACTTGGTTTAAGAAATTTCATATGGCAATGATCAAGTTTGGGATCAAGCGAAATCATGCAGATCACACTATAGTCATCAAACAAAGGGAGTGATAAGATCTCAATTCCTATAGTATATATTGATAACATAATACTCATCGGTGATGATGTAGAGAAAATGAAAGTCCATTGTGCTAAAGAATTTGGGGTCAAGGATTTGGGGTAGTTTCACTATTTCCCTGGGATTAAAGTGGTCAGGTCAGATAAATACATTTGCATCTTATAGAGTAAGTATATCCATGATCTCCTAAAGGAAACGGACACACTAGGTTGTAGACCTAGTGACTCACCTGCTGAGACAAACCACAAACTGAGAAGTCATGAAGGTGATTAAGTTAATAGAGAAAGATATCAGAGGCTTGTTGGGAGACTCATATACCTTTGTCACACTTACCTAGACATAGCATATGCAGTGAGTGTTATTAGCCAATTCAGGCATGCTCTGCGGGTTCCTCTTTAAGAGGAAGTTCATCATATACTGAGGTATGTCGAATTGTCTCCTGGCCAAGAATATTGTTCTCAAACCATGGTCATCTAAGAATAGAGGCGTTCATAGATGTAGATTAGGCAGGCTCAATTGAGGATAGGAGGTCCATTATAGGTTATTGTACATTTGTAGGAGGAAATATAGTTACTTGGTAGAGGAACAAGGAAGCAGTGGTGGCTATATCTATTGCAAACATAGAATACTGGACTATGACTCATGGTATTTGCGAGCTTATGTGACTTAAAACTTTAATGAAAGACTTGGGTGTCTCTAATGGTGAACCTATTCTCCTTTATTGTTATAATAAAGCTACCTTAAATATTGCTCAAAACTTGGTTCAGCATGACAGAACAAAGCATATTGAGATTGACAGACACTTCACTAAAGAAAAGCTTAATGATGGACTGATTTGTATGCCATTTGTGACATCCAAGGAACAACTAGCTGATATGTTTACTAAGGGGTTTAGTAGTAGAATATTTTATTCCAATGTATGCAAGTTGGGCATGAGAAATATCTATTCTCTAATTTGAGGAGGAGTGTAAAACGTTAGGTTATTTTAATTGAAGGTATTGTTGTAATCCTCACTTTATTATAAGTTAATAAAAATATGGGTGATGAGAAAAGAGACTCCATAAGCTATTTTCTAATCTCTTCCTTCTCTTCTCTTGCCTCTTCCCCTCTCTAAAGCCTAGATCTTTAGATTTCAACTGTAACTTATTCCTTCCAAGAATTCCTTGGGCTTTGTGGGTTTATAGGTGATTGAGTCAATTCTTTGATATTTAGGGGTGCTATCTTTTTTCGGTGGACATGGTAACTGATAGTAAGACTTCTGGTGGCAGCGAGCTGAATGGGTTGAGTCGTGTTGGGACTCTCAGATATAGCTCATTTGTTCAGATTAGTTTGGTTAAGTTTGATGGCACCAACTATTAGATTTGGTCACGATCTTATAATTTGGCTATTATTGGACGTGGCCTAACTAGTTACATTATAGGAATTCGTAAGGATCCTATGATAGATGGACCATGCTATGACTTGGTTGGTTAACTCAACGTAGCCCTCTATTAGTCGCACCTTCTTGTTGATGGACACAACGTGAGATTTGGGATGTAGCTGCACAAACATACTCACACAAGGGCAATGATGCACATGCCTATAAACTAAGGAAGAAGATTCGTGGGTTAGATAAAAAAGACAGATCTTTTGCTGAGTATTATGCTTAATTGTGTAGTTTGTGACAGGAGCTTGACTATTATCAAAATTTTAGGTCGTTTATACTACGGATGCAACCTACCTTTTAGCAGATGATGGAGAAAGAGCGGGTATATGATTTTTTTGCTAGCCTTAATATAGAGTATGATCATATTCGAGTTTAAGTTTTAGGTT